CGCCCGACGCTAGGATCCACGAGCTCCATCTCGCTCGATCCCAAAACTGCCTCGGCTGCGCCCAATGCGTGCGCCTGATGCCAGGATCCACGAGCTCCGTCTCGCCCGATCCCAAAACTACCTTGGCTGCGCCTGACGTGTTCGCCCAACGCCAGGATCCACGAGCTCCGTCTCGCTCGATCCCAAAACTACCTCGGCTACGCCCGACGCGTGCGCCTGAACTAGTATAAACCCTGTGTGCATTGAGTGCTAGGCCACATCCGATCACAACGTATGGCAAAACTATAATTATTTACGTGTTGATCACTTTCTACACCGACAGCGATCGTGCGGGACAGGTGGCGCACGTGGAGAGGAGGCACCATGCCCCAACACGGAGACCAGGGCGTAGCCAATGGTGGCTGATCCAAGGCAGATATGGCAGGCGAATTAGCAGTGGTGGCAGGTGGATCCATGCCGGGATCTGTGTTTGTCCCTGCCAAAAACAGAAAGGTTCTTGGGTGCATGAAATCATGGCCGTTTTGCCTTGGATTGGGATCAAAATGCGCCAACTTTTTAGCAGATCCTGCATGCTCAATAGAAAGATTAGTGCGCAGGGAACCATTAGCAAATAGATCAGAAGAATTGTTTTTTTTAAGAAATAGATCAGAAGAATTGTTGTCCCAAAAACCAGATGATGGATTAAGAAGGGTGAGTGGGAGGAGCAAGATTTTTTATCTAAGACGGGCACCAGCATTAGGGTGAAGTTAAGCAACATCCAAACACTTGAATCCTTTATGCATGTTATTGTAGCCAAGGAAAACACATTGCTTGGAATGAAATTGAAGCTTGCAGGAATTATATGGGCGCAAATTTGGCCAACATGCACATCCAAAGATTCTAAGTGTAAGGTAATTTGGTGTTTGGTGAAAGAGGCGCTCAGGAGGGGTTTGGCCATGAATGACCTTGCTAGAAAGCCCATTAATCAAATAGGTGGCAGCGATAAATGCCTCATCCCAAAATTTGAGAGGCACAGATGCATGAGCAAGCAAGGATAGACCAACTTCTACTATGTGACGATGTTTTCGTTTGGTAGAGCTATTTTGCTGATGCGCATAGGGGCAAGACACATGATGAGAAATTCCTATGTGTTGGAAAAAGGCATTCAACTTTTGATACTCGCCTCCCCAATCCATTTGGATAGCTAGGATTTTGTGTTGAATTGCCTTTCTATCATAGATTAAAAATCATGAAATTTTTGGAAAACTTCAGATTTATGGCACAACAAATAAATCCATGTAAATTTGGTAAAGTCGTCGATGAAGCTAACATAGAAATTATTTCTGCCAACATAGGTGGGTGCAAGGCCCCATACATCCAAAAAACAAGTTCAAGAGGACTCGGTGAAACACTTGTTGACACGGGATAAGGCAATTGATGACTTTAGCCTTTTTGATAGGCATCACACAGTTGTTCTTTATTGGACTCAGACACAAACAGAATACAATTTCTGCTAAGGACCTGCTGGACTACTGATGATGACGGGTGACCTAGATGGCTATGCCACCTGGATGTGGAGGGCTTGACGGAACCATACGTCACTTTATTAGAAGAAGACCTAGATGACTTCAGCGGGTAGAGCCCTCCATCACAATCCCCTCTAAGCAGAGTTCTCTTTGTTGTCTGGTCCTTAATCAAAAAATAATTGGGATGGTATTCAATAAAGGCATTGTTATCGGATGTAAGACGACGAACGAAGGCAAGATTCTTGTTAGCTTTAGGAACATAAAGGACATTATTGAGGACAAGATTTTGTTTAGGGGTACAAATAAAACTTTGACCGATTTGGTTGATTCTCATAGCTGCGCCGTAGGCGGTATGCACCTGATCGGTATCGTGATATTTGTCCCTCACGGTGAGCTTTTCCAGTTCACCCGTGATGTGATCGGTAGCACCGGTGTCGGTGTACCAATTTGTATCCACGCCATAGGAGGTGGTGGCCGTCAACGCCGAGCGATGTTTCAAGGGTCTAGTGAATGAGACGTCGAAGCGCTTGTAATAATGTAGGTAAGTGTGGCCCTCCTTGTCGTAGAGCTAGCAAGTAGGGCGATCGATGTTGGAGGAGTAATGGCCAGGGCGTCCGCCGTGGCTGTTGTTGCCGTAACCACAACCACGGCCACGACCGCGGCCACCACGTGTAATGGCATTGGAAGAGGACCCAGAGTTGCCGTGCAATAGATCCATGCTCCTAGCTCACCAGCTGGGTGTAGAGTTTGCCAAGGGTCAGTGGCTCCATGCGCGCTGCAATGGCTGAGACGATGGGGTTGAATTCCATGTCGAGACCGGCCAAGATGTAGGAGGCGATCTCCTCATCTTCTAACTTCTTGCCCACAGCTGCCATGTCGTCTACAAGCGATTTCATCTTGCTAAAGAATTCAACGATGGAAGATGAACCCTTCTACGCAGTGGCCAAGGCCATGCACATGTTGATGACGCGACCACGGGACTATGATGCCATCATGTCTTGAATCGCCTTCCAAATCTTAGCAGCGGTGGTACAGGTAGAAACATGTACCATGATCTCCCTGGAGATAGAGGAGAGCAGATAATTGAAGATTTGTTGATCCTTGGCGACCCACGCTTCATAGTCGGGATTGGAGATGAGCTCGGTTGGCTTCTCAGTCGACTTTAGGATCTCCTTCGATGGAACCGGCGAGTCGGCATTGATGTAATGCGTGACTTGAGCACCGCACAGGGCAGAGAGCACCTGTGCTTCCCATAGGGGGTAATTGTTCTTGGCTAGTTTCTCGGTTACTGGACAGCCGATGAACGAGAGAGTAGTAGCAGGCGTAGAGGTGGAGGAAGCCATCGGCGATTTGGTGGATGAACCTAGCTCTGATTACCATGTGAGAATGGTTGTAATGTGATGCCCTCTCAGGCTCATGGCTCTGTGTTAATATAACTAGGAAAAGCCCCTAGCGTTGCATTTACATCTTGTACAACAAGTAGAGACGTCTCATCTAGCATACAACACAAGAAAATAACAAACTAGGAAATATCCTATGGAGCCACACCAATCAGCCTTGGAAAGCAATCAATCACGTATACACTATACACTGGAAATTCTGGATCTGATCACTGAATATTCCAACACTCCTCTCCGGTAGCCATAGCTGCACACATGTGGAAGGTCTCCCATCTGGACACACGTACACTATGACCTCCATCAACAACACTCCAGTGCCACTGCCGCATAGGACTCCTCACCTCCACTTCTATATGCGACAACGTACACACGTATCCATCATTCCATCCACTCTGGAGCCGATGTCGCGTGTGGTAACGAGATCACCATGGTTGTCTCAGATGGTGAATCCACGTTAGGGGCTTAGGGTTTGTTTGGTTGCTCACTAATTTACTTCAATCCATTCCAATTAGTCATTTTTTGAGAGACGGGTAGGAATCAAGTTGATCTAGTTTTTTTCTCCAACGTTTCAAAATTGTAAAGCTCTGGAGCGTCGTCTGTCCGGACGTCGCTTTCTAGGCCAGCGCGTACCGGTCCAACAGGCTTTCTTACCCTCTATGTCTCCCATATCTTCTCTCAAAAATATATCCCCATCGCTCTCGCCCATCGCGAGCTGCTTTGCGTCGTGCGCTCGCTGCTGGCGTCTTCCCCGTCGCGCACCCGATCTGGCTCCACGTGGCTCCCCCATCCAGCGCTGCGCTCCATCCCATGTTGCGCCCCCTCCATCGCCACGCCGCGCTCCATCCCCCACCGCGCCTGCTCTAGCTCGCTACGCGTCGCACCCCCGCTGCTACGCACCGTGCCCCGCCTCCGCACGTGCGAGGTGTTGCAGACACCGCCGTTCCCCACCAGAAGGTCGTGGCCGCTATCGACGCCATGGCCGCCGCGATGCGCGACCTCAGCAATGAGATGTTGAGATGAAAGTGCATATTGCAAGCGTATGTTTCAAGTGTTTAAGACGTTTTAGAGGTATGTTGCAATTGTTTCATATGGATGTTACAAAAATAAATCGGAGGATGTTGCACATGTTGCATATGTTGTAATTTTTTGAGAGGCATGTTACAAGTGTTTCAGAGGTTTGTTAAAAATGTTTCATCTGTTCCAGACGTATGTTTCGAGCGTTCTGATCTGGATGTCACATATGTTTCACAACATATGTTCCAAATGTTTCATCTGTTTCAGTCTTATGTCGCAGTAAGTGTTTTCATGTTGTAAGTTGCAAATATTGTATCTGAATGTTGCATATGTTTCACACATGTGTAGCAAGTGTATGTTCCAGATGTTTCATCTATTGCATACGTATGTTGCATTCAAGTGTTTCATATTGCACATCTTTCATATTGTTCCAGGGGGCGGGGCGTGGGGAGTGATGCCATGGCGGGGGCACCGAGGAATGAGGCACGGCGAGCGGGGGGGCGGCGACGAATAAGGGGGCGCGGCAGCGTCTTTGGTGTCCTCTGGACGGGGTGTGCTCAGCGCCGGCGGTCAGGGCACGATGGGGTGGGGCACGAGTGTGGGGTGGGTCGAACGGTCTCGAATCGAGACGGATAGGACGGGCTGCGAATGCGAGGTAACTCCTGCAGACACGCGGGCGCAAATCAGTGGACAGGGGCAGGCTGCACGGCGTTCGAACACGCGCGTCCTTTCAAAATCGAGATTGAGGGTCAGAGAGCTCGCTGGAGGCCTTAACAGCACAATCCTGCCCGTTCCTTTGTTTGCCAGCGTCCATCGCTTCCGTACGTTGCTTTCCAGCCTTATCCTGTAATATTATCACATCACAGGTCGCGCGAACTCCGCCGGACCCTTTCAAATCTTCCCAACCTCGTGCGCTCGGACGAGGCTCCGGCGGCCGCATCGGCGCGCCCCGCGTGGTGGCAGCGGAGACCACGTGTGAGGCTGCTACGGCGAGGAGCTTATCCTGTGCAGCGCGGCTGTGCGCGAGGCGAGCACGTTCGAAAGCGGCGCATTTCCCGATCGCAGCCGACGCCCAGCAGGAATGGAAGCTGCAATCCCCCTCGGGGTCGCCCCCCGAGGCAGCACCGGCATCTGCAGCTTCTCCGTACCGCTCAAGTCCTCGACCAAGCCCAGCCTCAGCTGCTTCGGCAGGGTCCCCGGAAAGCTCACGCTTTTCCCGTCCCGCGCCGTCTCCGAGGACCGCGCTGACGCCACGCCGCAGTGGCAACTCGACTTTCTTGGGGCGAGCGCTGTGACCCCCGACACGCCTGAGGACGAGGATGAGGAGGACCTCCTCCCAGCTGAGGCCACCGATTGGTGCGTCCGCGCGCGCCGCTCTGCCCTGCGCTCCATCGAGGAGCGGGGCCTCGCGCCCTCGCTGCAGCGGATGGTGTCACCGCCCAAGAAGAAGAAAAAGAAGAAGACTGCCAAGAAGAAAGAATTCAAGAAGGCGGCCGCCGAGCTCAAGCGCCGCAATAAGCAGGTGGATGATGCCGAGGCAGACGAAGACGACGACGATGACTATGACGTCGTTGATGATTTGCAGAACATGGACGACCTGGAGCTCCGGGTCGCGCAGTTCGCCGACGGCATGTTCGACGAAAAGCGCCAGAGAAACAGGGAGGCCTTCGTCCAAACCTTGTCCAGGTTCTCGGCCGTGCCGTCCAACCGGAGCAAAGAGGTGTCCTTGAATCGCTCCATCGTCCAGGCGCAAACTGCCAACGAGGTGCTGGACCTCACGGCAGAGGTGATCACCGCTGTCGCCAAGGGTCTCAGCCCCTCGCCGCTCACGCCGCTCAACATCGCCACTGCGCTCCACCGCATAGCGAGGAACATGGAGGCGGTGTCCATGATGCAGACGCACCGCCTTGCCTTTGCGCGCCAGAGGGACATGTCCATGCTCGTGGGTCTGGCCATGGTGGCCCTGCCTGAGTGCTCGCCGCAGGGTGTCTCCAACATCGCCTGGGCTTTGTCCAAGATTGGCGGTGACCTGCTATACCTGCCGGAGATGGATAGGATAGCCGATGTGGCCATGGCTAAGGTTCAAGACTTCAATGCACAGAATGTTGCCAATGTTGCAGGAGCGTTCGCTTCCATGCGCCAATCAGCACCGGGGCTTTTTCCGGCTCTGGCCCTGAGAGCAGCACAACTACTGCAAACATTCAAGGAGCAAGAGCTTGCTCAATTCTTATGGGGTTGTGCTTCTCTGAACGAGTGCCCCCATCCCTTGCTTGATGCACTAGATACTGCTTTTCAGAATGATACCAGTTTTCAGTGCCATGTATCTGATTTAAAATCAAGCGAGCATCAGAGCTCAGCAGAAGAACTTTCTGGTGGAGAGGGTGGTAGCACTAGCAGTGCCCGTACACTGAACTTCAACCGAGATCAGGTTGGGAATATTGCTTGGTCCTATGCTGTTATTGGGCAAATGGACCATCCATTCTTTTCGCATATGTGGAAAACTCTGAGCCAATTCGAAGAGCAACGGATTTCGGATCAGTATAGAGAAGACATGATGTTTGCTTCACAGGTTTATCTTGCAAACCAGTCTTTGAAGCTTGAATACCGAAACCTTGGACTGTGCTTAAGAAGTGATCTTGAGGAGAAAATAACAAAAGCTGGAAAGAGCAAAAGGTTCAATCAGAAGACAACCTCTTCATTTCAAAAGGAGGTTGGCCGTCTTCTCTATAGTACAGGGCATGAGTGGGTTAGAGAATATGCAATCGATGGTTACACTGTTGATGCCGTGTTAGTTGATGAGAAGCTTGCATTTGAGATAGATGGGCCGACACACTTCTCTAGGAATTTAGGTATTACTTCTGTTGCTTTTGTGTGCCATTCTGATGGAGCTACAGGCTGACATTTTCGTCGACATCCTTCTGAAATATCCAAGAAGAAACTAATTGAAGTGTGCTGATTTTGCAGGTACACCATTAGGTCACACAGCATTTAAACGACGCTACATTGCAGCTTCTGGGTGGAAGTTGGTTTCCTTGTCTCTTCAAGAGGTTAGTCATATGCTCATGGTCATATGTGACACTAATTAGTAGCCATTATGTTGTGCTATAACCTGGTTATGGTTTGCAATTATTTTTGGATTATTCTACTGTACCCTTAGGATTTTTCAGACCAGAGTTTCATAATAAAAGGTCTGAAGTTAGGCACATTAGAAATTAGTAACAAAGTTTATTTGTTTTCGAAACAAAGGCACCTCAAGTAATTTGCTGGAAAGCACTATGAGTTATTTCTGCATGCACTTAATTCCATTCTTAACTTCTAACACCTGATGTGCATTGTGTTACAATTTCCATTGACGTACGAACTCTCAACAAACTTTGTTACCAAGGAGTAGCGTAATATGTCACCACCCCTCATCAAGATTTGGACGTACACTGGGTTCTGGCTTGAATTTCAGTAGATTAACTGAGCCCGTTGGATAGCTGAAAGGTTTTCTTTTTGTTCTGAGACTTACCATGATTATTTTGTTTCCATTACAGTGGGAGGACCTACAAGGTGAGTTTGAACAATTGGAATATTTGAGGAGAATATTAGACATAGAAGCTGAATAAGCGCAACACATTAGGCAATGGAGATTAAGCAAGAAGGCATCTGCTTTTACAAGAGTACTCAGTTTACAACCACACTGGCCTTCCCAAAAGTCCAGTCCACTCTCCTTGTATATTTTTGTGAACCTGTCTCAAAACAAAAGTGCTCCACTGAACCCTGGAAAGCTAGAAGTTAGCTGAGCATTGGTATTGACAAATACAGTTTAAACTTCAAACTGTGTCGTGCTTTGCTGAGTTTGATTAGTCTGACATGACGATGAGACAAGCATGCATGTTCTGGGGATAAATACTTTCATTACATCAAATTACAAAAGCTGACATCTTACTCCAAGCAAAATTTACAAATAGGATATAAATTTCTGATGTGTAAAATTTTGACGCGGTAGGAATGTAGCGTAAGTAGCACTTGGTTGGTGCCTGCCCAGCCGAACCATCTGGGATACGGCCCAATCCCAGAGTTACACCGTATTTTTATTTCAAACAAAGAAACCGGTACTCAAGCAAGATGAGATTCCTTCCCAAGTTCCCATGCTCAAAACCATGTTTGAAGACACCACGTACAATAAAACCATGTTTGAAATATCTGCGTTGCTTGCCTACATACATGGCGTCGATAAAATCTGAACACAGGTCCCTGGCATCACATTTCTCCAACTCAAAATGTACACTAGACTTCAGTCCGGATTTGATACACGTGAATGAGACGCTTTAAACGAACAACGGAAGTGGGCGTGGCGAACAGGTTTAACAGCCCTGCATGGTCGCTGGATCCAAAACTTCCAATGGAACCGGCAGGTGAGTCACAATCAACAGGGGCACTTCTTCATTGCAAATGAGATAGGGATGGCCCAACTTGCACGGCTGTAGGAATACTTGGAAACAGGGAGTCCAGGACAGGATCACAGCAAGGCGAAGAATGGCCACATTCAGATCCTGCAAAACAGAAATAGGACTTCTCTCAGTCTTCAAACCCAAATTTGGTTTGTTGAGTGCTAAACTTAGTGAGAAAACAGAAAGAGAAATATACTAGCTGATTGAGCAGAACTGCAGGCCATTGTGTATTCCAATTTTGAAGCTCCCAGCCACTTATGCTTTATTTGTCTCAGTTTATTATTGCATATAAATTACAACATGAGAAGAGCAAGTGGAGAATCTGTCCCCTTTATCAGGTCATTCTTTTCTTTTCTTTTTTTTTGAGAATCCTTCATCAGGTCATTCTATCCCTCTTTGGAAGATTCAAGTGGGAATGCTGTGCATGAATTAAAAAAGCAGCAGAATATGAGAAGGATTTCTTTTCTGAATCATCCTTTAAGTCAGCTTGGTAGGTGATAGATCAAACACAGCTCACATGATCCATTATTTAATAGTAATATGAACAGGTCAATGAAACTCGATAAGTGAAATCTCTAGATGCAGGAATGAGATTATTGACATTTCATTCCTGGGTTGTTAGTGTCAGGATTCAACAAAGAAAACATGTATGGCACATTTAGAAAAGTTTGTAGATAAATATCATGGTAACAGTCAGACTACTTTCACCCTCAACATAAATTTAGGCAAAGGTTTAAGAAATGCATTTGCTGGCAATTATCATAACACAGAAATATTTGCAGACTGCAGCAAAAAGAGAATGAGAATAAGGGCACTCCCAATGCAGAAACTACCCGATAGTTTCTATGCCACAAGACACCACTCATAGAAACTATGCTCTCCAATGCAGTATTTTTTAAGGGCCCAGCAAATAAATCAAACCAATCATTCACCTCTTCTCTCGTCTGTTCCTCTGGATCTTGTGCGGGCAGGCGTTCGTGCGGCTCCGAGCGCAAGGCGAAGGACGGAAGGAGCACATCCACGATGATGGCTTGCTCCTACGGCCTACCCAGTAGTGGCTCTAGAAACGTCGGCAGGAATTTGAGAGAGCAGAGCAGTCACGTGTGGCAACGGAGAAACAACCAACCGGATGATTGAGGCCACGGCTCGAGCAGGGAACGTCTGGCGGCGGTTGTCCATGGCATGCGCAAGCTCTCGACGGCGGCCACGCGAGGCTTCACGGCGGCGGCGCGCGTGCGAGGCAGCCGCGCGAACTCCGGCGGTGAGGTTGCGCAAGCTCCGCAGCGGCCGTGGCGTCCTGCGCGAGTTCCGCGACGGCGCCGGAGGACATGGACACCCCGCGCACCGTGTAGGCGTGTACAAGGTGGACGCAGCGCACCCAAGGTCCGACGTCTCCGCCGAGACCGCAGCGGCGTTGGCGGCCGGCTCCATCGTGTTTCGCGATGACGGCCTAGGGTACTCGCGGCGGCTCTTGGACTGTGCTATGGAATGGAGGTGCTCGAGTTCGCAGACAGGCACCGAGGTCGGCGACGCGCAAGCGAGGATCCGTGGCGGCCGCGCGCATAGGACCCGTAGTTGCTGATGGAAATCATGCACTCCTTCCCAACGCGATCTCCGATGGTTTCGCTCCTTCGTTGCGCGTGAAGAAACGGAGTCTAAGTTAGAAACGGTTTCTTCATTTTTTCCTCTCTCTCCTCATTAAATTACTTGCCACATCAGCAAAATATCTAGGTGGCAGGATAATTAATAGGGATAGAAACCATGCTGGTTTCTGCATTGGGAGTGCCCTAAATGGCATCATGACCATGATGGATGTCAAAGACTCAAAGCAAGTCTAGAATGTATCTGAACAGTGTAATGAACAGACATATTAAGAATGTAATGGCCCATCACAATAATCACAATAAGGGAAAAGTATGTAAAAATATAATTATTAAGTTTCATAAAATATGGCTGCTAGGAAATCGACTTGGAATAAGCCCAGAAACAAAATGAAAGCTAGGAAATAGAAAAAGGAAATTGGAACAAAAGAAATGCTTCTGCAAGCAAGTCAGCACATAAGGCCTCATGGAAACTAGACCAAATGATCTTATACTCTAATTTTGAATGTTTGTTCCCCTAGGCAACACGTCAGGATTCAGCCCAACTAACAGCTAAGCTGGATTCAGTGACAGCTTATCTGTACCTTCCTAATGCCAGGAAAAGTAGGGAAGGAGCATCCCCCAACTCCTTGCCAAACTACTGTCTCTCAATAAAGTTAGTACACCCTGTTGGTCCAGGTTTATCAATTTAACAATCTCAAAACAGCTGCCCCACGTCCATACCCTTTTGGCTGGCACTTGAAATGATCTTTAAGGCAAGCTGATAAACAGATATAAAATTGGCCCAAAGAAAAATTAGGGGCCAGGAGAAATATATTATAGATAGATGTGAAAGGGATGACATGATTGCTAGAACTGTTTTGAAAGCATTTGGGTAAGATAAAGAAGAAGGTGACAAGTGCTTGGAATCACATTGTCTGTCTCCGCATATTCTCTAAAATTTTTCACGTTTCTGATATGTTGCGCAGTGTTGACAAACCCGGCACATAGAAATACAAGATGTCTCAATCTATGTTCGAAAGGGAGGTACTTATCAATCATCACTTTGGGGAATTCATAGGCTACAATGGCAAAGGGTCGATAGCGACTGACGATATGGCATAGGAAATCCTTGATCGAGAGGCGATCTGTTTGACCATGGGATTTTGTCCTTCAAGGAACTGACTAAAATCAGCACTATTATAAAGTATTGCTCTTAAAATCAGCACAATTGCACATGAGTCACATGAATGTATGAATTGGAGCTCCAATTGCACAAACGGCTGCTCTAATCTGTCGATGGATACAAGACAACTAAAATTCGTGGAACGAGTAGAGAAGCAACACTAAGATCAAATCATTCATAGCAAAGCAGTATCTGTAAACATTTCGTTCTCGTGCAACAGCATAACAATTGACAGGAACACATTAACAAATCATACATCAGCAAGCAATAGCAGTAACGGTGACAATCAGGGAGAGGGAGGGATCTCACACCTAGTGCGACGGCTGCTGTGACACCGGCGCGTACCAGCTGTCGACCTCGTCGGCGGCGTTGTCCTCCGCCTTGTGCAGCGCTGCGTGCAGGAGGACGAGGACGAGGCCGACGCTCAGCGAGGAGAGGATGTTGGTGGTGGCGTCGGTGAGGAGAAGCAGGCCGAGCGTGACGACGGCGAGCACGGCGAGGACGTAGCCGTCGGCGACGACGCGGCCGAAGAGGACGAGGGGCTCGTCGCGGAGGAAGTAGAGGACGAGCCAGGCGAGCATGCAGACGAGGAAGACGATGAGGGAGACGGGGTGCCAGAGGAGGGAGAGGAAGACGACGACGAGGACGACGATGGCGTAGTTCATGGCGAAGTGCGCGAGGTTGGCGCGCACGCGGAGGTACGCGTCGCCGAGGCTCGGGGGCAGGCCGACGGCGTGGACGTCCGTGAGCTCGCGCCAAGGCCGGCGCGTCGCCAGCGCCGAGGCGCCCCGGGCCTTGGCGCGGGAGATGAAGTCGAGCGGGGAGGCGCCGCCGAGGGGCGCCCCGCCGCCAGCGGAGGAGGAGGTGGGGATGGTGCCGTACTTGGACATGGCCGGCGGCGTCGGCGGCGGCGAGGCGCGGGGTGCGGAATTGGATCGGAGGAGGAAGGGGATCGGGGAAGGGGAAGCCGGCGGAAGCCGATGGGATCAACGAATGGGCAGGCACAGAGGGCAGAACACGCGAGGACTGCGGGGTGGGGGTGCGATGCCGTACGGGACGGGGTCCAGTCCGGTGCCAGTTGCGCGACACGGGAACGTGAGTTTTTCTCTTTTAAAACAAATGGAACGTGAGTTTCCAGAGCCTGCTAGACGTGGACCGGAACCCAATCCATCCTCCGGGTTCGACACAGATGGATGGCAACCGGTGCAAGTGCAAGGGTCTCGAGTAGGTGCATCGAGCGGTCCAGGACACGAGCGGGCCACGACCCAGAGGAGCGTCTAATTACGTGTCCACAGATTTTGTACTGTCAAATCTGTCCGATTTAGTTACAAACCTATTAAAATGACAGTTGGAGCACAAATCCCAAAGTAAAATCAAACGTATAGAAATTAACAGAATTAGTAAAA